GTGTGGGATCTGGCCCGATGGGAGCTCGTGCAGTGTGGGATCTGGCCAGATGGGAGCTCGTGCAGTGTGGGATCTGGCCGGATGGGAGCTCATGCAGTGTGGGATCTGGCCCGATGGGAGCTCGTGCAGTGTGGGATCTGGCCGGATGGGAGCTCATGCAGTGTGGGATCTGGCTGGATGGGAGCTCATGCAGTGTGGGATCTGGCCCGATGGGAGCTCGTGCAGTGTGGAATCTGGGCTGATGGGAGCTTGTGCAGTGTGGGATCTGGGCTGATGGTCTTTCCTGCCATAGCTCTAATGAGATTCTGAGGCCTCAGGAATAACTATGAGCTGCAGCAAAGCTCACTGAGCTCTTCTGGGGAACTCTGCAGGGAGCATATGCTCAGCTTTAGTCCCACGGGTACTCTTTGCAGAAATACTGAATTTTAGTCACATGATTATTGTTCTTTGACCCCTGTGACCTCACATAAATACTTTTCCAGAATCAAGTTTTATATTTTGTTTGTTTGCTTGCTTTGTTTTTTAAGACAGGGTTTCCCTGTGTAGCCCTGGCTGTCCTGGAACTCACTCTGTAGACCAGGCTGGCCTCAGACTCAGAGATCCACCTGCCTCTGCCTCCCGAGTACTGGAATCAAAGGCATGCACCACCACCTGGCCAAGTTCTATATTTATTCCTGGGTTCAAATATGTGTATTTAATATCTGTTCACTAGTCGTTTATGTTGGGACATGATATTTATCTTACCTGTTTAGAATTCCTGCCATGTTCTCTCCTTTCATTAGCCCTTGTTTCAAGAATGATGGCATGGCTTCATCAGCTTAATTAGAGGTGAAGAGTGAAATGTCCATCAGCAAAAAAACTAGAAAGAACTGCAGTGTCCAGTAGGCAGGGTCCAAAAGCATTAAACACGGATTCGATACAACTATAAACAACACTTTGCTGTTGGTCTTGAGTCAGGGTTTTACTGTGCAGCCTGGACTAGCCTCAAACCTTAAATTCCTCCTGTCTCTGCCCTCTGGGGGCTGAGATTACAGGTGTGTGATGTTATACCTGGCTTGAGTAATTTTTTTGTTTGTTTTGTTTTTCGAGACAGGGTTTCTCTGTGCAGCCCTGGCTCTTTGAGTAATTTTTAAAAGCAGTCATAAGAGAAAACGGCCGGCAGCTGATAAAACTTCAAGTTTTATCTTCCTCAAAAGTTGACTCAGGGCCAGGCAGTGGTGGTGCACACCTTTAATCCCAGCACCTGGGAGGCAGAGGCAGGTGGATTTCTGAGTTCGAGACCAGCCTGGTCTACAGAGTGAGTTCCAGGACAGCCAGGGCTACACAGAGAAACCCTGTCTCGAAAAAAAAAAAAAAAAAAAAAAAGTTGACTCAGTTCAGTTTGTTTCATTCTTAGAAGCCATGTCATGAGAATTCTCTAGAAGATCTGGAAGTGTCTCATCTTCTCCAGAGCAAGAGGTGTTTCCCATCACACCCTGGGCAGAGCTTCAGCTAGTCAGACCACATGAGGGTGGTGGGTGGTCTGCGTGCCACAGCGGCACTGGCTGCTGCATTTTCTCAGTGGCCTATAATGGTGGAAGAGTTTGCTGCCAGACACCTGAATTAACATTAGGGCCATGGAGGTGGTTCCTCCAAGGGTAGATAATCACATCAGCATCAGGGATACTGTTTTATGCCTATCCTCTTTAAGGAAGTAACATTTTCATCATCTGCTGTAGCTGCTCTGTGAGCCACATCTTTCTTCAAGCAGTTCCTCTCCCACCAGTATGCCCAGTGCTTGCAGATTGGTGACTTTTTAAAGCAGTTTCTTTCATTGTGTTGAGCGGAGCACCGGAGAGTAAGGCTGGCACTGAGACCTTGGGCTGAGAACTGAGAATCTCTTCTCATTTTTACGCAGAGCATGCAACAGATGAGATAGATAGTCATGGCCAGAGACTCTAGAGCAGGTTGTCTGCCCGTCTGCTTTCCTTAACAGCAGATGCGTGCGTTTTTCCTGGTGTTTCACTGAAGAAAGCACATCTTAGAAACTCTGCTTCCCCATGGTGACGTCAGCAAGGTGTTCCATACTTTGAGTCACCTGACAAGCAGCTTTTTTTGGTGTCCCCCTTCCTCCAGGAAAACGCCCACTTCAGCATCTCTGAGTCCTTGATTGCCGCCATCGAGCTGATGAAATGCAACATGATGAGCCAGTGTCTAGAAGAGGAGGAAGTGGAGGAGGAAGATAGTGACAGAGAGATCCAGGAACTGAAGCAGAAGATCCGCCTTCGGCGCCAGCAGATCCGCACCAAAAGCTTGCTCCCTGCGTACCAGGAAACTGAGCACGGAAGTGAGTAGGCCTGAGACCACTGTATGCATGCCTCTTTATGGCTTCCCAAAGCTCAGGCCCTGTGGGCTTTCAGCTCTGCTCAATGTGTGATGTGTTATGTCTCAGCCAAGGGTTCCCCTGCTGTCAGGACCGTGGTGGTCTGTTTTGGTGATGGTGGGTTTTTTTTTTTACTTGATAGACTAGGAATACTGCTAGAACTCATGATTCCTACACAGAAATAGCTTTATTTCAAAATGAGTTTCCAAGGTGAGAACTAAGGCCAGGAGTCACAAATGGACTTCTCCAAAGTTGAGTAAACCAGCAAGAAGTGCCAGTTACTGTATAGCTTCAGAGCCAGCAAGGTTCTGTTCTCCTTCCTCTGTTAAAGTGTGGGTCCTTCATTGTGTTGAGAGGGATGAGAGACCCTTCATCCTGTCTGTGACTATGATAATGTTAACATCACAGGCTTCCGGGTCACCTCCAGCAGCTCCCAGTTCAGTTCACATGATTCTACACAGCTCTCGGACTCCGGCTCTGCTGAGGATGTTGATGAATTTGAAATCCAAGGTAAGAGATGACAGCTTGTTACAGGGAACATTTATTACTTGTTTCTTTTCACTTGAAATACTGGGCTGAGTGACTCCTGAAGTAGAAGATCCCCACTCTGAACTATTACGGAGCATTGTTAGTTATTGTGAGGGATGGCTAAAAAACAGCCCCACTAACACGCACGCAGATGACCGGAAGGGAGCCAGCTGTTGGTGTCACCGTGACTCTGTCCTCACATCTGCACCTTTCTCTTGGGTCCTCACTCTTGTTCCTCTTTCTAGCTGAGCCAGACCACATGATTAAACTGTTTCCCTGGGCTCCACACCATGAAATCATTCCAAAATATGTTTTAAAAAAAAAAGAGCTTTATTGTAATTACAAAGCAAGACAAGAATTGTTAGGGAGAAGCAAAGAAGAATAAAAGGAAAACCAATCAGTTTACATAGAGCTTTAGTGTCTGTCTCAGCAGTCTTCAGGCCGAGTCCAGCCTTGCTGCGATCATCGGTCAGTGGAGGAGGCAGGGCTGCAATCTGGGAAAGCACATGGAGTAAAGCAGGGAGAGCACACGGAGTAAAGCAGGGAGAGCACGTGGAGTAAAGCAGGTTAATTAATGTTCCTTTTGCATCACCAGTCACCCAGAGGGGGAACTGACAACAGACCAAAGAAACAAGTCCAACCTGTGACTCAGGGAGTTACTGGTTTACTTACAGGCTACATCACAAATACTACTGCTGCTGCTGCTACTACTACTAGTAATAATAATAATAACCATAACAACAGTAGTAATAATGGTAATGATAATAATAGTCATAGTAAAAAATCATACCAGCATGAACAGCAGACTCCCATGAGCTACATAGACAGAGTCCCGCCTGCCTTTGGCTAGCCTTCAGCCTCCTGTACACTCTAGCACCTCCTAAGACCACATGCAGCTGGTACAGCATTACTCAGAGCTGGGGCAGAAGAGGAACTGAGCGGCTGAACTCCCAGGCAACGCTCTGATGATCTTCCTCCCCAGTGTGTATGGAGGACAGTGTCAATAGATTCGATCTTGAGGTCTCATTGAGTCTAGCCAGGGATCAGCTGCCCTGCTTCCAGCCTGGCAGTGGCCACATCATACTTGAAGAACATGCTTCACAGCAGGCCTCTTCCTTCAAACTATGGATTTCTTCAGGTGCCAACAAAAAGACAAACTAGCAAGCAAATAAACACAATAATTCAGGTTCATAAACTCTTCCCCATGGAAAAGCTAAGAGTGCCCTCCTGACAGAGCTGAACTGTCAGCACTCCATTATAACACTGTAAAATGATACTGAATAGTTACTATCTTATTTTAGTCTTCAGAATCCCCGAGTAACCAGAGTTCTTTCCCACTCTGAAATCCAGATTTTACACAATTTTCTAGGCCTCTAAGAAGTTTTCTTTGTGTTCTTCTTAATGTTTCGGATCACTTAAAATTCCTTTCCCACTTCGTTTGTATGTGGGTTCTTTTCTAACCATAATTCTCACACAAAGTACACTCTGTTGGAAACTGTTGCTTCATTTGTGGGCCCCAAGGGCGTGTGTAATCAATTCCCTATTGGTTCAGAACAGAAATCCTTAAAGGAAACAACCGTAGGGTGGGATATCTCAGTTTTAGGCCCCTGCCATTCTCTGTTGTGAGGGACTGCCTTAAGGCTTGAGTTGTTTGCCATCATCTCTGGCCTCTACACTCTACCCCCTGCCAATAGTGCTCCCAGTCCCTCCTCAGTGCTCAGAAGCATGGCCAGCTGTTCCTGATCGCCCTTAGCTCCTTTAGGGGAGGTGCTTGAGGCTGTACTGGTTTGGGAAGTAACAGTAACTCTTTCCCAAGCCCGTGCACACATATGGATGGGTTCCTTTGAGCTCACTGAAGTCACGGGCTGATCCCAAGGGTTGTCAGCCTCAGCAGCTTTGTCTCTGTCTTTATCCTTGTTGTTACACAGATGGTAGCGAAGGCTCTCACCTGACTCACAGGTTACAGAGTGGACTCTCAGTGTCGGTGGCCTCACTGTTCTCAGGTAGCCGTGCTAGAGGTGTGGATGTGCTCCGGCATGCACGTGTGTGACTGTTTGCACCAGCTTGTGTACATATTTGATCTTGTGACACTTGTCGAGGTTAGAACTACGTGGTCTGGAGACCTAACTGAAGAACACTAGACTTAATGCAGGAGCAGTTTTAATATTCAGATGCCCTTTTCCATATGCCTCAAACAGTCCTTGCCATCTCCCCTCACAGGGATAGTTTTACATTAGTAGTCATATGACTGGAGGGTTTCTCAAATTTTAGAAAAGACTAGTCAAAACTAGAAAAACAGTTATATCTTGGATTTTTGTGGTATTGGTGGTACATAAAGGCATAACATTGCATAGTGAATAAAATGTAATGTGAAGCCCTATTTCATCTCAATGCTAATTTAACTGTAGAAATTTACTGAGTTGAATAGACTTTGGGTCTGGCTAATTTTGGTGCTTGATATTTTTATTTATTTGGAAGGTTTTTTATAATAAAGGTTATCTTAGAAAAGAAACAATCGGATTAAGAATTTAAGTTCAGGGGCTGGAGAGATTGCTTAGCAGTTAGGAACACTGACTGCTCCTCAGAGAACCCAGCTTCAGTCACTGGCACCCTCCTCAGGTGCCTCGCACCTCCTGAGCTTCAGCTCCAGGGCATCCAGTGCCTCTGGCCTCTGAAGGCATCTACACACAAACATCACATCATTTAAAAATAATTAAAAATAGAGGAGAACGAAGAGGGATGTGATCTGGATTAAAGTTAATAAATAAGGAAGAAAACTTATTTAAGTTCAAGCCAGGTATGATGACCCACACCTTTAATTCCAGCACTTGACAGGTGGATTCTTGTGAATTTGAGGCCTTCTGGTCTACATAGTGGGTTCCAGGCCAATCAGGACAACATAGTGAGACCCCGTGTCAGAAAAAAACAGTGAGTTCAGGTGCTGGACAGAAGACTCAGAAGTTAAGAGTGGTTGCTGCTGCTTGGCGGTGGTGGCTTGAACCTTTAATCCATCACTCTGGAGGAAGAGGCAGGTGGATCTAAGTTCAAGCCCAGCCTGGTCTGCTGAGCTAGTTTTAGGACAATCAAGGCTAAACACACACACACACACACACAGACACAAATCTCGGGGGGGGGGGTGTCAAAAAGAAATTTAAGAGTTAAACTTCAACGTAGATCAGAGAGATTTAGTACCTGTCTATAGAATATTCTGTGCAATGTCTGAGGAATAGACATTTTTCCCAGTAGCTCATAAGAACTTGCTCCAAAGCAGATCATGCTTTGGGCCAGCCACATTGTGGTGTAGGACTTTTGGGTCTCAGTTTGAATTTAAGATTAAAAGAATCCCACTGTCCCAGGACACATCCCGGGAGGGGCACATTCCTTAGTCAGAGGACACTTGCTAGATTAACATTCAGAGGTAGAAGGGAGAGGCTGATTAACATTCCTCAGACCATAGGGGAGGGAACCCACCTGCGGGTGAGGAAGGCCCAGAGCACACAGACACATTCCAGGAATCAGGAAGCTGGGCCCTTAACGTAATAAACCTGGGCAAACGGAAGACACTCCTTGTCATAATCTGAGTCACCTAGAGACCAGCCTTTGTGGTTTCCCCTCGTGAACTCTGTATAAGAACTGCTCCCAGCTTTTGTTTGGGGCTCTCTTGCCTGCATGCGAGAGAGTCCTAGTGCACTAGTATCATTAAACCTCATGGTATTGCAGTGAGTCCTGACCGTGTGTGTTTCTGTGAGAGCGCATCCCCTGGTTGTGGATCTTAGAGTCCAACAGTGGCTTTGGACTGGTAAGCATAACTGACTGTGTCACTGCCAGGGGCACACTCCATGGGCGGTATCAGTGAACTAAGCTGCCAGCTGAGATAGGAACAACTGACCGAAACAGGACAAAGGCCTTCCTCCTCAGTATCCTCTCAGCACCCTCTGCAGACAAGGCTTTACTTATGCAAGCTGACACAGGAGACATGTTTGAAGCATAACAGGTTTATGGTTCAAAGGCAATAAATTGAAACCTAATATAATATATAGAGAAGGTTACTTATGAATATTTTTTTTCTGATAAGAAAAATCTGTATCAAGTTTTGCTGAATAGTTTTATGGCAACTTGATACAAGGTGGAGTTATCTGAAAGAAGGGACCCTCAATTGAGACAATGCCTCCATAAGGCTCAGTGTTATTTCTTATTTGGTGATTGATGGGAGAGGGCCCAGTCCATTGTGGGGAGGGCCATCTCTGGGCTGGTGGTCCTGGGTTCTATAAGAAAGCAGGCTGAGCAAGCCAGTAAGCAGCACCCCTTCATGGCCTCTGCATCAGCTCTTGCCTCCAGGTTCCTGCTCTGCTTGAGTTCCCATCCTGACTTCCCTCAGTGATACTGTCACCTGGAAGTGTAGGCTGAAATAAACCCTTTCCTCCCTGAGCTGCTTTGGTCATGGTGTTTCATCACAGTAATTCCCTACAGGATGAAGTCCAAGGCCATCGATTGTTTCTCCTCCCACTCTTTTAAATAAAAGTTTAACAATAGTAATAGTTCTCCATTTTACAGTTCTCCTCTCTGAATTAACAGTTACAAGAAATTCATTGGCATTGGAGCTCCAGCATGCATGTGGATGTCTGAAGGCAACCATGTGGATCCTGGGGTTTGAACTCAAGTTCTTATATCTGGCAGTAGGCACCTTTACTTCTGGAGCCATATTGCCAACCCCTGGTTTTTTTTTTTGTTTTGTTTTGTTTTATAGTTTATAAATTCTCCCAGTCAGTAATAATTGCCTTATTCTATGGAAAGCATCAAAAGTGTTTCAAATAAATTCTCTTTGAAAAACATATTTGCTTTAAAAATATACTTGTTTTTGTTCAAAAGATTAATAAGAATTTTTTATAATTATTGTAAGCTCTACTAGGAAGGGGCAGACTTCTTTCTGTTCTCTATAGGACTCTTTCCTTCTTGTCTATTTTAGACCTTGGTTTGGCTTTATCATTGTGCCCAATTAGTGGTCCACCCACATCAACTTAGTCATCTGCTTGAACTAACTTGAGTCACCGGGGTGCCTCACGGGCTCAGTAAAGTCAGAGTGTTAGATGGATGTCAGGCACCATACCCACTGGGCTATCGGGACTGCCTCAACACTCTGCTCTTGGGTAGGATTCTTACCCCTAGGCAGTGTTGCAGTATTTTTGATTAGCTAAAAGGTTCCTGTCACATACCTCCTTCTGACCTTTTTATTTATCTGGTGAAAAGGGACAATAAGCAGATTAAATCTAGCTTTATTATAGGTTCTAAAGAAAAGAAAATAAAGAGAAAAAAAATACTTCCTTACTTGAAGATGAAATGCTTTGCTTAAAAACAGTATGAGAAATGTATCCCTAGGTGATTTTTTGTAACTATCACAGATCACAGAATTAACTTACAGAGGCTACTGTGTCACTATGATAGATCTCATGGGACCACTGTCATACGCATTGGCTTTCATGACAGAAACGCCATTATGTGGCATGGTTGTAGTTTTATGGAGACAATGATTTCCTTAGCAACATTTATCAAATGCCTCTCTGTAGTGTGGACCACTTTTTTTTTTTTTTATAGCCCAGGCCTATGGTATGAAAATCGGTTAGCTCCTTATCCCAAGGATGTCTAAGATTTTCTTTCATTTTTACCTATCCTAAGTGGGATGAAATTTGCAAAAATTTTAATTTCGTTTAGCCAGTTATTCATTCAGGAAATACTCTCTGAAAGCCTTTAATAGAGAGAGCATCATGAATGCTATTTGACAAGATTCATTCATGTTCAGCCCAGGCAGTGTTTGTGATCCCCAAGCCGACAGTGCAGACCACGCAGTTGGCATTGGCATCCTCCTTCCCAGCCACACTAGTGAGTGGACCAGCCGACCGGCAGTGCCTTGGGATCCGCAAGACTTGAGTGACTCAAGTTCAGACAGAAAATATGGCATAAATGAGCAACATTTTGCTAAATAAAATGTTCTTTTTGTAATTATCAGCAAAAAAAAAAAAAAAGGTTATGTTGTTTTTATATGCTTTAAAAGCAGGTGAAGGTTGGGCTATAGTTCAGTATTGGCATTTTCCTGTCTCTCACCATCAGGCTCAAGTTTGATTTCAGCACTATCCCAAGCAAATAGCAAATTAAAAGCTGCTGCATGTGGCTTGGAGGCCAGTAGTTTGTGAACAATATTATTTGTTATACTTGTATCTAGAACTATGTACTAGATGTTGTAAATTTCACTGAGTTAGACATAATCTCATTTCCTCGGAGATATTCTGTAATCCAGAATATCTGCATTTTTGCACACACAAAAGAATCCTGCAGTTGAAGCATGGCGCACAGCTGAGCTGTTGTGGCCCAGAGTAGATGATGGTGCCCTGTAAGCCTAGTGCTCTGCTGGGACTCAGACACAGGACATTGGTCATTGTGCAGGACTAATTAAGGATAAAAAGGATCCTCTCATTGGCCATCAAAGGAAGTAAGAAATGAGAGTACCAGCAAAATAGCCTTTCCATGACTTGGTTAGACACTGACTAGCTTTCTAGAATATGACTATAGCATTTGGCTAAATGAGGTCTCTGGGGGCACAGGCCTCTCTTTAGAAAAACATTTGGAAAGTCTAATTTTTCTATAGTTATATATGAGATTTCTATAGTAATGATTATGTTGGTATTCTCTATAGGAAGCTGGTTACAAGGATTCTCCAGCGGGTTTCAGGCATGGAAAAGGTTTTTCCTTCCCTGAGCCACCAACAGGAGTAAAACCAATAACCCATGAGACTTTATTCTAAAGCTAGAGAAGACACCTGACGTCCAGGGGTGGTAGTGAGCCTTAAGACATACTGTCCAGCCCCACAGGTGTTTAAGAAGTAGCCTCTAGGATCTAAGTTTTGTGTTGGATGATAACCTCTTTCATAAAAAAAGCCAGACAGATCCCTTTCCTTTACGTGTTCTCAACACGTGATCCTCCAGCCTCAGCCTCTCCAGCGCTGGAATTCCAGGCATGAGCTTCCAGCCACACTGGCTTTGGGAGCATGTCACTTAAAGGAGCTTGAAACTAGAGAATAGAGAAGAGACTTGGTCATCATTGTGTTTGTGCCTGCACTCAGCGTGCCCCTGTGTGCCTGCAGATCTTTCTCTCACTGTCTTACACTGACCCTGCGTGTGTTTCCCCTCGGTCTGTAACCACGTTGGCCTTCTCAGTGCTCCACACGATGTCGCTAACAGCCTGGTTGTGACATGGATGGAAATGGACTCTTAAGTAGTGTGCAGGAGCTTCACCTGTTTCTTACCCTGCCTAGAATGTAGCACCTAGCCGCCACCCTAGTACTTAGCTGCAGTACCCCGTGGTGGGTCCCTTAGCTTCTCTTCCTTTTCTGTTCATTTCCTGCTCCCCTGATCTCTGGTTTCCATGTAGATGCTGACATTCGGAGGAGCACAGTCTCAAACGGCAAATCATCCTTCTCCCAGAATTTGTGAGTATCTTTTCATTTGTTTAATAACTTTGGGGTATATGGAAAAACAAACCCAGATCATGGCCTGTGGTTGAGAAAGGTCACAGCAAAAGCTATCCCATTTTAAGAAGAGGCAGGGTTCAAGTGATGGCCCTGTCCCATGGTGGCCACTCAAGGGGAAAAAGACCACATCTTTGAGAGGTACAATAGCAGTTTTACTGACTTTGTTTTATAAACAGGCAGAGTGTCCATCTTAAGTAAAGAAGCTGAAATACAGAGAAAGGAAAATACAGAACTGTTAACTGCACTCCCACATACTGCTGGGAGATGAGCTCACTGCTTGTACACAGTCACTTAAGAACAGGCTATTTTCACAGTGCATGTGTGTCTGGCAGTGAGTAAAGACGGTGAGCAGGCTCCGTGCAGTGAGGAGGTCAGGTGTATGGTCTTGGGCCCTGACTGCCGGGAGCCCCAGTCTTCCTGACTTGGTGCACTCAATCCTCCTCTCCCTTCCAGCTCACACTGCTTCCTGCACTCCACATCTGCTGAGGCAGTGGCCATGGGGCTTCTCAAGCAGTTTGAGGGGATGCAGCTTCCAGCTGCCTCGGAGCTAGAGTGGCTAGTCCCAGAGCACGATGCTCCACAGAAGGTAGGCCTTCCCCGGTCCTCCCTGCCCAGGAACTTGTGAACCTTCTGATCTTGTTCTCCTTCCTCACATGCCCTGGTCTGGAGTGAACCTATGTATCTTTCCTTATTCAGGAACATATGTTGTTTACAAGTATGGTGAGTGGAGTGGGTGAATGCTTGCCTGCCTAGGTTTCCCTGGCCGATGCTCCTTCACTGTCCTTTTCCACAGAGGAAAAGCTCGTGTTTTGTGTCTTAAGACATTGTGTGAGAGTGAACTGTTCAAACTCCTTTTTGCTCTATAGTTGAATCTTTTGAGACGTAAGGTATGCTTGGCATAGTAAAGGCCTCAGGAAGTGTAGGGGCAGTACCAGCAATGAGGACCAGCACCCTAGAATGTTCTCTCTCTCTGCTTCTTGGAACTCAAGATCCTGGCTTTTAGTAGCCTGGTACCTACTCATTTGTTTTTAAATCAGGGTTTGTTAATGCCTCAGCCTGTGATAATTCTGGAATATGTCTCATCGTCTCTGCTTCTCTTGTGGCCAGAAGGGCTAAGCATCCATGTTCCCATCGATCATCCATGCCTGCTCACGTGCACTTTTCTCCGGCAGCTCCTGCCCATCCCCGACTCCCTGCCCATCTCACCAGATGATGGGCAGCATGCGGACATCTACAAGCTGCGGATCCGTGTCCGTGGCAACCTGGAGTGGGCTCCACCCCGGCCTCAGATCATTTTTAACGTTCATCCAGCACCAACGTGAGTAGCCAGTGGCCGTGTCCTGTCTCAGAGAGGATCCGTTCTCTCTGCACTGTGGGAGCTGTCTTCTTACCTTCATGTCTCTGCCGCTGGCTGTGCTTTCCACACACTTCTGTGTACTGAAGAGCATAGAAAGACATCCTCCATTTTACTTTTGTTCTTAAGTTCTTCTAGCCCTTGAGTTCTCTCCCCTACTTAACGGGGCCCCACCCCCTTTAAGTCAGCATTCCAGGCTGTTGCCTTCCTCCCAGTACTTGTGAGCTCACTGAGTTTTCTTCTCTTTTTAAGACAAATCTTTTCTCTCCTTTTGTTCTTTCCTATTTGCTATCCCTCATCCCTTGCATTTGTACAGAACATGTGGTTCACTTTGAGGATGGTTCCTTACTCACTGCCGCGGCCTGACCCAGTAAACCCTGACCTCATAAACCCTCACTTTGCACTAGTGCTCCCAGAAGAAAGTAAACTTGTCCAACTCTACAAAGCTGATGAATTCTTGGTGCTTCCATCCTTACAAGAGTCTTCCTGCCCTCACCCTTTACCCCCTGAGCCCTGTGTAGCTGCCATCTGCTAATCTCCTCTCCTTTGCCTTCCTGTAGGAGAAAGATTGCTGTGGCCAAGCAGAATTACCGCTGTGCGGGATGTGGCATCCGGACCGACCCTGGTAAGTCCCATCATAGTGACCCGAGAGCTTTGTCCTGCCCCGAGCCTGTCCTAGGTGATAGAAGGAGTGAGAGGACAGATGGGGGAAGGGAAGAAGGTCCTGGAGCAGGAGGGGCCTTTACCTCAGGGAGCAGCACTACCAGGACCATATCCTGGAGAAACTGGATCATTGCAGCTAGGCTCTTAGAGTCTGGGTCTCATTAGCTCCAATAGTTTGGATTCTTCAGTAGCTTCTAGGATGGGGTACAGGAACCCTAAGTCCTGCTATGGGAGTTTTTTCCAGCTTTAGTTAGAAGCCAATTGACCCTCCCTCCCTGCCTTTTGAAGGGTCACCAGCTTCTGAGTACAAAGTCACACTACCCTTTGGCTTTCTGGGTTTCTAGATTATATCAAGCGCCTGCGGTACTGTGAGTACCTGGGCAAGTACTTCTGCCAGTGCTGCCATGAGAATGCCCAGACGGTCGTCCCCAGCCGCATTCTGCGCAAATGGGACTTCAGCAAGTACTACGTCAGCAACTTTTCCAAGGACCTGCTCATTAAGATCTGGAATGACCCTCTCTTCAATGTGCAGGACATCAATAGCGCCCTCTACAGGAAGGTTAAGCTGCTCAACCAAGTCCGGGTGAGATATCTGATCAAGCTGTGGGTGGCATACATGCCTGCTTCTGTCCTGGCTCCTGTTTCTGTTGTCTTAGGTCACCACACTTCTTCTCACAGTCACCATTCACATTCTGTGGACTTTCTTGTTTGTCTGTTTTCCAGTGCTGGGGACTGAGCCCAGCATTGATTACCCATAGTAGCAGCAAGGCCTCTGTCACAGAGCTTCACTAGGCTTGATAGCACTTGAAAGCAAAAACCGTTTCTGCCCTCACAAAGACCAGGGTTGGGAATTTGAATCCCGGAGTTCTCAGCCATTGTGTCTGATGAGCATACTGACTTAGAAGAAGGGCCTTCCTAACACTGAAGTGAATTGTTGAAGGCTTGACTGAGAGGCATGGGGGCAGCGCTCCTCTGGCTGCTGTGTGTAGTTTAAAGGACTGGCTGGCCTAACAGCTCCTTCTCTCCTCTTCTCCACCCAATGTCTTGTCTTCAGCTGCTGCGGGTTCAGCTGTACCACATGAAGAACATGTTTAAGACATGCCGACTGGCCAAAGAGTAAGTCTTCTGTGGAGGCCAGAGTCCTCTGGCTGCCCTCTTGTCTCTTAAAGGTGTATGTCCCAACAGTTGCCTGTTTAACGTGAGGAAGAGTTTGTAGAAATGTCTGAAATTAGTCAGGGGGAAACCATGACAGCAATTAAATAGTGTCTTTTTTTGAAAAGGACTGTCTGACCAAGGAGAGTCACCATTTTCCGAGCTCACTCTACAGAGTTTATAAATAAAATACTTTTGGTATGGGGGAGCTGTGGGAGCCTAGAATACCTGGGCTAGCTTCTCTCCTTCTGCAGAAGGCGTTTGGTACTGTCATGCACCATATGAAATGGTTATTTCCTCTCCCTCTCACTGCCTCTCATTTCTGCAGGCTCCTGGACTCCTTTGATGTGGTTCCAGGCCACCTGACAGAGGACCTCCATCTGTACTCGCTGAATGATCTGACTACAACCAAGAAGGGAGAACTGGGGCCCCGGCTGGCCGAGCTCACCAGAGCGGGAGCTGCCCACGTGGAGAGATGCATGGTCAGGCCCTGCAGCTGCGGTCTTGCTTGGGGCTTAGGTGGGGCAGGGTTCTTGCCATTTAGCTCCAGAAACTTGATGCAGCCAGTTAACACTGAGAGAAACCAGAAGGGCTTGAGTCAGTGAGCAATAGATTCTTATCTGAAGAACCTAGAGTTAGAGGAGAGAGCACAGCTGAGCTGGGGCAGGAGGATTTGAGTCCTGACTTAGCCTGGGCTATTCATCAAGACTCTCTCTAGAGAAAACAAAAATACAAAAACAACTAGAACAGGAGTTGATGCTGGTGTTGGCCCCACCCAGGCTAGACTGAGCAGCCTTCAGTGAAGAAGGCCACACTCGGTAGGACCTTGATCACAGTCTAGAGGCTGCTGTTTTCAATCACAGTCTCCAGCAGTTTGTTCTCTACATAAGCCCATTTTCTTCTTTCTGGAATGAAGGTGACCCTTAGATGAACTGTCCTTTCCTCTTGAGCTTTTGATGAAGTAGTTCCACAGCATCTCGGTAAATTCTGTTTACAAGCGTAACTTACCATCGTTCATGATAGGATCAATATACTAGAAACCTGGAAATGTTACTCTTAGATCTGTCCATCTCAGCTGCCTGGCTTGTGGCCTCTGGCAGGGTGGGGGCTGGGGGTGGGGATGGGGTGGACACACTGCAGTGTAACCTGACTAAGAGGGTGTTGTTTGTGGGAAACACCCTTACTTTATCTTAATTAGTAGTGGTACACGTTTCAAAGCACAACTCGATACCGGAGTACAGATTTGAAGACCCTCTTCTCTGTACCCTCTCTTCAGCCGTTCCTCGTCACTGAGGGCTGCTCTGGTGGCAAGGGCTTCTCAAGCCTGTGTCTCTCGTCCGTCCCCGAGTTTTATGTGTGGTGTCCAGCCCTGCTGTGGCTCTCATACTCACAAGTCCAGCCCAAGGCTGTATTCCAATAGACGATTCACCTGCTCAAAGGTGTATTTATGACTTGCTTCCCCTCGCTGGAGTTCACCCTCTGGAGCCGGTCCCTCACTTTCTTCCATTACTCTCTCCACAGCTGTGCCAGGCCAAGGGCTTCATCTGTGAGTTCTGCCAGAATGAGGATGACGTCATCTTTCCTTTTGAGCTACATAAGTGCCGGACCTGTGAAGGTGAGGACCTTTGTTAGAGCAGGTGTACTACCTCAGAGTCCTCTGTGAGCAGAGTGTGGTGTGAGTGAGTCCACACTCCACCCCGAGCATGCACTGTGGGGAGACGCGGCTGTGGTGGCGAGTGACTTCCAGCCCAGGATAATACAAATCCTTTTCTTCTCTCTCTTTTTCACCTGAATGAACAGAGTGTAAAGCATGTTACCATAAAGCTTGCTTCAAGTCTGGAAGCTGCCCCCGGTGTGAGCGGCTGCAGGCCCGACGGGAGTTGCTGGCCAAGCAGAGCCTGGAGTCGTACCTGTCTGACTATGAGGAGGAGCCCACGGAAGCCTTGGCTCCAGAGACCACCGTCCTAGAGACCACCTGAGGATGCACCCCAGCCCTTCGTCTGAGGGTCTGCCTAGGGTCAGATAGAGAACTGAGCTCCGCCTTCAAGGAAGGTGGGGCCTTTTAAAAATATATATTGTCATTTTTTATGACTTGTCTGCTGTCCAGATGTAGGCAGCCTTTATTGGTTGATGGATCCAGTCTGTTGTGACAGACATATCTGTAGGCATCGAGTATTTTCATCGGAACTGACACTTGGCGTGCCTCTTGTCTGGGAAATGGACCTCGAGGCCCAGTTCTGCCTGCCACGCTTGGCCTATTCCACTAGGACCAGATCTGGTTACAGCTGCAGCTCAAAGATCATTCCCACTGTTGACTTGGTTCCTCAGCGTCTGAGCCATGCCTTTCTCAGCCAGCGACCTTCTCCTTGGCTGCTGAAACAGGAGAATGGTCTTTTCTTGGTCCTAGTCCTAAAAGAGAATAAGACTGTGCCCTGAGGCACGGGACAGAAAGGGTACATGGCAGGCATTCTGGGCGGGGCAGGGAGGAACAGGACCATCATTGTTCTAGAATCCTCAGGATCTCAAGGGGGCAACCATGGCTCCCCTGTTTCAAGTATTCCTGGCATAGGTGGGCACAAGCTGATTTGTGTACTCTGGTGGGCTTGAAGTAAAGAACAGATCTGAGTCTTAGGCTAGGCCACAAGCATAAGTGCGGCTGCAGCTGGTGCTTAAGAAGTGGTTTTTTAGATAGAAGAGCCAACAGCCTCCTCTGGGGTGGTCAGTCTCTCAGCTGGCTAGCCTGAGTGCAGGTGCGCTTCATGCTCAGGCAAGTCCCTGATGCAAGCTAAGGGGATAGAAACCCCACCCACTGTCTCAATAGTGCGCTCCATACTGCTCTGTAGGACATTGACCCCGTGGTTCTAAGTACAGGTGTGACCAAGCCCCATTCTCAGTCCCTGCCCCACAGAGCTGCAGCCCTTCCTCTTGGCTGACCTCTTGCCTTAGTTTCTTTTCTCAGCGTTGGGGGAAGCCAGCCCACTAGTAGCACTAGAGCACTTGACAGTCTGTGAATGTTTCTGTTTGCCCAGAGTAACAGGGGCCTTTATGCAGTTAACTCTTCAGCCTTGGTCTATATCGAACCATCCATTTCATGTAACTAATTTTAATAGACTCTTCCCCTATCACCTAATGTGCATTTTTTGTGGAAAGTGTCCTAGACTAGGCTGCTCATGACTGTGGTGATGTTTGAGGTTCGAGCATCTAACCTCAGTAAACACTAGTCAGGGTTGCCTCAGAGCCTGGCAGCTCTGTGAACTAACATCCACAGCAATCTTGTTCTGGAGCTGGCCTGTGTCTTCCTGTACTTGGCACTAGTAAAATCATTGGTCCAGGCAGTGCCCCACCCAAGAAGTCAAACGAGTTGCCTGTTGCTGTTGGAAGCTGACAGGTAGCTGAGCTTCAAGGGAACAAGGAGTCTCCCAGAGAGGCAGGGGGACGCAGTGGAACAGCCAAGCTGAGCTCTAGCAGAGCAAGAGGGAACGTGTCTGGCCAGTTCCAAGGTGTGACTCCTCTGCCTCACACTTGGAATCTGACAACTACCATGGGCTGGATGACTGGGACTGCTCTCAGTAGGCAATGAGGCAGAAAGCCAAGGCCAAAGCCAGTTCTTTTTTTTTGTTGTTGTTTTTTCGAGACAGGGTTTCTCTGTGTAGCTCTGCCTGTCCTGGAACTCACTCTGTAGACCAGGCTGGCCTCGAACTCAGAAATCCGCCTGCCTCTGCCTCCCAAGTGCTGGGATTAAAGGCATGCGCCACCACCACCCGGCTCAAAGCCAATTCTAAAGAACTGGTTAGAAATCCCTTCCAACTCAGTTATCACTGAGTCAGACCTTGGATGCCAGTTCCTGGCTGACTTCCCGTCCAGCTGCTCACTGAAGTCACCACACTGGAGGAAACTTCCACCCATGCTCCCAGTCAGCAGCACGGGCTCAGCAGTCTCCAGCTCCATCCCTCTAGGTCATACCTTTAGAACTCCTGAGTCTGCTGTCATTACTGACCAAATACCCATGTCTGTCTGTTTGGGGAGAAGGAGCAGGGGGTGTGGTGAAAGCACTTAGTCACCTAATGGAATCTGAGGATCCCCTGCTGTGGCGGGGAGAGGCTTCCAATGCACTGATAGGACGTGTGAGGGGGGAGCATCGCTCTGTACTGAGGAGACAGCTCCCAGTGCTCTGCACTTAAGAGGTTCTTTCTGTTCCTCTGCTGAGGAGTGGAGAGCTTTTGCAGAACTAACAGAAGAGGAGCAGGAGTCTAAATGAAAATGTTGTTTGTATACACCTTGTGTTTAGAACTGGATTTTCACCTGCTGTAATTTACGCACATCCTGACAGTTCACGGTCATCTCTAATAAACTAAGGAAAATAAATCTTGCCTTTTATTTACCTGCCTTGCTGACTATAGACTGGTATTTGTGTATTTACTGAAAAGTGACTGCATCTGAAAATCCCTGTGTGATTCTTGTGACCCTCCTCCACACGACTCTGTTGTTAGTTCTGTTACTGTGATTGTTGTTGAGTTTTAAACACAGGGTCTCACCATGTATCCCACCATGTATCTCAAACTTGGAGTCCTCCTGCCTCTGCTGGGATGATAGGTTATACACGCTATACACACGGCTCTTTAAATGTCTCCTTATCGTCTCCCGCCACCATCTAAAACCAACACTTATCTCTACAAACCCAGCCTTAGTGACTCGGATCTGAAAGCTAGTTGTATGACTTCCTCTGAGTCAGGTCACATGGCTGTCAAGTTTGTTGGTTGTCCTTTTCTTTACCGTATCTCCTAGTCCTCCCACTCCCACACAAATGCTGGCTCCTCTCTCAGTTGTCTGGGCTCACACCAGTTTCTTCCTGTTCATTTTCATCAATATTCAGGTACCCACTATACACCAATGTCTGTGGTAGTCTGTGGGGCTATAGGAGAAAGGAGACAGGCCCTCCCATAAGGGAATGAAACACTTGTGTGGTCCACAGACATTGCATAGCATCACCAAAGTGAGTGGACAGTCATCTGTGCCTGTGGGTGTCTTGGTTAAAAAGCTGGGCATGATGACATACCTATAATCCCAGCACTTAGGAGGCTCAAAAAGCCAACATAATTGGAAAAGATACAGTAACAATTACCACAAATTTAAGAACACACTGTAGTAGCTATTTACATTTTATTAGATATTATGAGTTATATAGACATTTAAAATATATGATGAAATATGATAGAGATAAGTATGATAGGAATAAAATGTGGTACAAGTAGATTCCCTGCAAATATTAGGCTATTTTATATAAAAGATTTGAGCATTGATGTGTCTTGGAAACCCTAGGACGAGTCACCTGCAGGTAAGGGAGAGCTAGTCATAACCTTCGCTGATGGTGAAGAGAGCAAATGCTATTTCCAACAAACCCAGGATACAAAACTGGGACAGAGAACAGTGAGGCTCCTAAGAGTGGTTCTGCAAGTCCTTCCCCAAGGATGGGCTCAGGCCAAGACCTCTAAACAGAGGCCAGCCTGGAATGAAGACCCAACAAGACAAGAACCAGAACGGACTTACCGAATCAGATTTGTTTATGTTTGTAACCAACACTGGCCTCAAAATTCTCCTGCCACAGTCCCCAGAGTGCTGGGATTACAAATGTGCACCATCACAGCCAATTACAATTTTAAATTTAAAACAGTGTTTGTGAATGCAGGCGTGGACGTGCCCTGGCACTTGTATAGATCACATGAATAGTAGTCTTTGATGTTTCTGTTGTGCTGCATACCCCAGACTAGATGGCCCTCAGGCTTCTGGGTAATTTTCCTATTATCCAACTCTTTACATGGGTTCTGGGGTCAAACGGGTTGGAGAGGTAGTTTCAGACCCAAGGACTGAACTTGGGTTATCAGTCTTTTGTAACTAGTGCTATGACCTGCTGTGTAATTTTCCCATACCACCACCCCCTTTTAAAAAGAGAATGTCTCACGTCACCCAGGCTAATATCAAACTTGCTATGTAGCTGAGAATGACTGACCTGGTCCATTTGCCTCAGTATCTCCCTAGTGCTGGGATTAGTGAAGTATGCCTCTATTTCCAGCAATTTTAGGTTTTATATTGAGAATTGATGCAATAGACAAAACAGTTGTGTTACCTTAAAATTTATATGAAGGCTTTATCCCAATGAGGTCTTCAGATAAGACCTTTGGGAAGCAAATGGATATCGTTAGGGTCAAGCCCCATGATGCAGCTTATCAAGAACTCCAGGAAGCCAGACAGACAGTTCTTTCCATCTTGAGAGGGTACAGCACAGACAACTATAAACCAGAAGGAGTGTTTATAGTCACCAAGACCCCTCAAGTTCACCACTGGGAAAGCTTCTGAAGAGTTTTATTCAAAGTAAGTGAGTGGTCAAATGTCAGTATCCTTTGCAGAGAAAGGGCAGAGCAGTGGGCTGTTCTACTGCAGAGGAGGCTCTAGTAAAGCTCAGAAGAGGTTGCAATGAACTGGTCTAGTGTTTTGTCACTGTCACCACTTAAGAACATGTAAGAAGAGAAAGCCAATCTGTTCTGCTCAGTTCTATCTCAGCATTCTTAAGCAAAGAACAGAAGGTTGGGGACAGCATATTGAACAGACAGGGTCAAGTACAGAATCTCGGATATCAAGGTCTCCTCAGGAAGGACAGGGATTAAGGAAGCCCAAGACTTTCCCTTGAGCCTGCTGCCAGCAAGACAGGCCACACAGTAACAGCTGAGCTGAAGATTCACCCCTGAGTAACAGGGACATCCCAAAGAAAGAGAACTAAACTGAGCAGTCTCCTACTATGGCACTGACCACGCTACTTGTACATTCCTGTGGCCTCCACTGTGTGTAGGTGTACTGTATCGAGGAATGGCAGAGAAGGTGGGCAATCTTTATAGCCTCCTGGCCAGGAGCCTGTGCTACCATAATGGCCCAGGGTTATGGAGGAAGGCTTGACGAAGCTTCAACCCCAGATACCTCAAACATGAGGAATGCAGGAGTTGGCTACCTCCCTCCTCCCAACCTGGCTCTGTAAAACTGCCCCCCACCATCAACCCTAGTAAGAATGTACACTGGGGGAGGAGAGAGAGCCTGGCACAGGCTGGGGGAGGAGGAGAGAGCCTGGCACGTTCCTGCCTTTTAGGTATTTACTATTTAGTTATTAAGACAGGAGCGCATAGGTAAAGGTATTAGACATGGAGTCCTTTCTATGTCCTGGGCACTGCTCTAAGTTATTTCTATCCGGATGACTCGTTAATGCTCCCGAATCCCCACCGAGGTAGATGGGCATTATCATTTCCACTCCAAACATCTGACTAAGGCAAAGAGAGTTTAAGTCACTCACATTCCAGCTGGTAATAGTGGAGCCCAGAGCCACATACGGGTGGCCTGGCTCTAAAACTCCACCTTTAACCACTCGTTATGCCAAGATAAATGAAAAGACGGAGTCCTAAGGGGTCAGAGAAACCAGCAACCAGTGTGGCCATGACACAGAAAGTCCAGTGCGAGAGCTGATTCCTAAAATTGTGTAGGCATACTAGGATTCTCTAGAAGAACAGAACTGGGAGGATGAGTAGCTACTAGAGGGGGTTCAGTGGGCGGACTTACGTGATTTGGGCTGACATGTATACAAGGCTGGCTACCCCAGGACTTCCAATCAGGTACCGAAGGTCTGAACGGTTCCTGGAGAGCTTTGATCTTCAGTCTATAATGGAGGCCTGTTCTGATACTGAGTGAACAGCAGAAGCTGTGACACTGCCAGGGGTGGCTGAGCTCACCAGTGAGATACAAACTTGAATCTTTTTCCTTGGTCCCCACTTTTCTGGGCAACCACCAGAAGATGCTGCCCTCCTAACATGGGTACTCCCACTTCAAATACCCTTATCAGGAATACCCTGCCAAGTGCGTACGGCAGCTTATCTCTAAGTTTCTTCCAGTTCTAGTCAAGTTGACAACCACATGAGTCCATCCCTTGCCGACTTGATACCCAATAACATCTCCTTATGTCATTCTTAATTTCCAAATAAAAACAGCAACAAGTCACAATCCCCTCCTCCACATGATATAACTATTCAACATACCCAAATACAATCACGATTTGTATGTTTTTCCCTTCAGAATAGGTGGTAAAGTCCTTTAAGAAATGCTAAATCAGGCTGGAGAGATGGCTCAGTGGTTAAGAGCACTGGCTCTTCTTCCAGAGGTCCTGAGTCCACCAACCACATAGTGCCTCACAACCATCTGTAATAGGCTCGGATGCCCTCCTCTAGTGTGTCCGAGGAGAACCACAATATACTCACATACATAGAATAAATAAATCTTAAAAAAAAAAAAAGAAGGAAATGCTAAATCTTTTAGAGTCCCAGAACTTAAATATAACATAGGTTTACAATACTTATTGTTATATTACATGATAAATACAGGAAAGAAAACCCAAGTATCTGCTTAATATCTCTCTCTCTCTCTCTCTCTCTCTCTCTCTCTCTCTCTCTCTCTCTCT